ACAAGCCTGTATGGGATGTCTGCTGTAGAGAAGCTGCATTTTTGAAAACAGTAGAAAATCTTGTTCTTTGCACCAAAGAAGTCACTTTATTACTACTCATAGTACTTTTGAAGTGTAACCTGATCAAACATTTGTGGCTCTGAAAGTAACAAGTCATAGATATCTGTTTTGCCTGTAGCTAATTACTACCAAACTGTATCAACAAAAACAACAGCCAACGAATAACAACTATATTACTCAAAATAGTAAGGTACCTTATTTCTGTGTATTCTTGAAGGCTTCCACCACCGGGATCGGATGGCTGTTGTAGTTTTTTCAGGCTGTTTGGCCATGTTCTGGAGGTTTTTCTTCCTAGCGTTTTGCCAGTCTCTGTGACTTTGTGTTCTCTTCTAACTCTTGTCCTCTGAAGATGCCAGCCACAGAGACTGGAGAAACATTAGGAAGAAAAACCTTCAGAATATGGCCAAACAGTGTGAAAAACCTACAACAACTATCTTATTTCTACTCAAGCATTAGTTAGGGAGTATGACATGTGTCAGGTATTTGTACATATAACAAATGTTTATCACGCCAGCTTGTGTTCCATAAACTGTGTAATGGCTCCACGAAGGACAGACATCCACCTTTTTTGGCTCAGAATTCAATAAAAAGAGAGTCTTCTGGCTTATTTACTTTAATGGGGTTTTGACTAGGGCAAATAATAATAATAATAATACGCTCCAGATCTCACAATCTCCAAGGTGCCATGTTTATATCTTCCAGACTTCAGTTGTGATCTACATCTGTTCTTGAGTTTTTTCTTGACTAACTTGCCTGCATTCATTTTCTGCACAGATTTTCTAGATGACGATGTCACAGATGATGCCCTCTGTGTTAAGAACGTTGTTGAAAGCACGATGGACATGAGCGCTTGGTAAGTCGCATGTGCGCTGTGATTTTCCTTTCGTCAATTTTAAATTGCCTTCCTTTCTTTGCCATGCAGGTAGTTCCTCGTTGCTACCTGTACTCCTTTTTAGGTCAAAGAGTAATCCAGTTCTGACACTCAATAGCATGTTGGGGGGGGGGAGAGAGACCCACAATGCTTTTCAGATAGAAACATCAGCTGCTGTCTCACATGAATTTTGCATTTATCACTCCCTGCACTTCTAGTTGTTAGTACAAATCTGAAAAGACTGTATTTTGAAAGACTATTAAGTCTTCCAGAACACTTTTCTATCAGAAATGTGAAATGTTTGCCATGTACAATGTGATCTATTCTTTTTTTCTCTTCTTCCTGCCTTTTTAGGCCAGTCTTTAAGAAATACTGCACTAAACAGGTGACCTTCCGTTATTTTCGGCAGTGCCTTTTTGCCTGGGCGAAGCATTCACTTCAGTTAACAAACAAGTCCAAGGCAATGGTTCCCACTGCAAAGAACAGATCCAGCGTAGTTCATGGTTAAGAGGTTTGGCTTTGAGACACCATCGCTGCTTCAGAGACTCCAGCAAGCTTCCAAATGATTACTGTATATATATTTTTCCTGTTTGTTTGTTTCTATTTTAACACATTATTGTAACCTCTTGCAAGGTTCCTATATTCAGGATGGGCAAATTGTCACATTGCAAATGTAGTATTGAAACATCCTTATTCCTTCACTCACCACTAGCTGTGCTGGGTACATGGAACAATCTTATGCATTAGGGTGAGAGCTCAGCCCTGCATTTTGCCAGCTTTAGACTATATATTTAGCTTAGCATATTTAGACTCCTTTTTTCTAAAGTTTTCTAAAGGAAACTTTACAAATACTTTAACCAAAGTATAAGCTCCACTGTAATATTTAATAATCTGATACAAGTGCCCTGAGAGTACACTGAAATTCGTATCTTTAACATAAAACTTCTTGTAATTTAAAATAATACTTTAAAGGCATAGAAGACAGAAAAGAAATATAATGTAAGAAGGATACCCTTTCATGCAAATTTGATAATATCCTTTTACCAGATCTATAATATCCTGCTTTAAGTGGCATCTGTTATTAGTTCAGTTGAAACCCAGGACGGGGATGTTGATATTTTAAAGAAAGGACATTCTAGCCCAAGATATCTTGATGACAGAGTTGGAAAAGACAGAGATTCTTCCTGTTTCCATGTTGTTTAATAAACTAGTTGAGTTGAAACTTGAAATGATGACTTATGTTTAGACTGGAGAGATAAGGTTGGAAAGGGGATGGGGGCCTTGCTAGAACCTCACACATTTCCAGAGTAAAACACTTCATAGTTGTCTGACTGAAACGGACTCATTTCAGTCCACATCAGTTCATTCAATCTCATCTCCAGGAGCATCTGCCCTGTTACCTGTCCTGTCCCTAGAGAACATTTGATTGATGGATAGCAGGGAGCGGGGCCTTCCCAGTAACAGCACCACATCTACAGAAAATTGTGTCAGGAATGCCTTCCTTTTACCCATTCACAAAATTTTCTGGAATACCTTTTTTTAAAAAATTAATTCCATTATTTTAACTTGTACATTTTTTTTTGAAATGTTGAGGGGTTTAACATTTGAAATGTATTTTGGACTGTTTGTATTTTGAAAGCATTGTTAATATCAGGTTTCTCAGAATTGAACAAAAATTATTGGAATAAAAAACTGAATTTTACAGGCAGTGAATTTGTTAATTTTTTCCTCATCGATGCAAAAGCATTGATCGACACTCACTAGTGAGGCAGATCTATAAGCATGAGACAGTAGATCTGACTACCACAGCTCCAACTCAGTTAAGAGTGACTTGCTACAATCAGTACAGTTGTAAGCTCTCTTTTCCTCTGGATGTTTATTTTGCTTAGCTACTGTCAGGATCTCTCCCTGTTTTTGCTTCCACACAGATCTGGAGGGGGGAGTATGCTTTCATTCTGAACTAAACAGGTGGACCATTATAATCATAATAGAGTTCCCTGGTCTTTGTAAACCTGGAAACACCCAGTGTTAAGCTGCTCTATCAAGTCTGGATTAATCCTGTACTCACTTGGAGGGCCACTAAAGAGACACTGGATGCTTTGGACCATCCTGACTGGGGCAGAAAAGGAGGTCAACTGCCAGAGGCTTCCTGCCTTGCACAAGCAGACAGCTCCACTGCTGACCTTTTAAGCACATGGTGCAAAGGAGGAAAAGGGGTCCATCGTGGGTAGGTGAGGACAGATCCTGCCATTTGCCCAATGTGTCCATGACAAGAGCGGTGAAACCCTGGAATGGAACAGGTTCTGCAGACATCCATCAAAAAAGTGGCCATTTCTAGAAGGGTAGTGATGGTAGTTTAACAGGTGTTTTTTTAAAAAAAAATCTATAATATAAAAATATAATAACAGTTATATTAATATTCAAGCATCTTAGCTACATAAATTACCCCGTTATCTATGAACCTACTTTCTTCAGTGTCTTACCTATACCCTCGTATGTTCTGTTATTTCAGGCCATTCTAGTGAAATTCTCAATTTCAACAACACCTTGTACTAGTTAAATCAATATAGGTTTTGTGTACAAGGGAAATGTGGTCTCAAAGATGTTATGGTTCACCCTATGATGGGAATGCGGGATCCTCTCCATGCCCTCTATTTCGCTCTCTGGCGCAGTGCTAGGGCAGCTGGTTTTTCAATTCGTATGCATTATTTAGCAGGTACCAAAAAAAACTATGATATAAACAGAGTCCCAGGCAATATCAATTCCTCCAGAGTAAGAGGGATAGATAGTAGAAATTGGTTTGTACTGAATTAACTATGTGGTCCCTCATGTCCACCAAGGGCTCCCTCCAAACTGGGCTGCTCATGGCATCTCGTTTGGGGGGGTGTTTTCCACCCCCTTCCCGGACATACAGGGTCAGAAAGTACAGATCTGTTCCCTAACACACAAGACCTCCAAAACTTATCCTGTTCAAGATAAACGGGGAGACTGTTCCGAGGGGCATTCCATAGTGCATAGTGCACCTGTCAGTCACATGGATATTCACAGACTTAGTGCTTCTTGGGAAGCTTCAGGGAACTCTAGGGAGAGTCAGAACAATTTAGGGACTTCTCCCTCAAAATCAAAAATGGCTCTGGATTATCTCCTTGCTCCCAAAGAAAGTGTTTATGCAATGTTACACAGTGTTGTCTTTGCGTTAGTGATTTTTCATTGAAAATAGACAGGAGGCCTGGGTTCACATCCCCATTCAGCCATAGAAACTCAGTGGAGATGCAGAATTAGTAAAGTCACTTCTTAAATATCTCACCTTGAAAGCTGTACTAGGGTTTCTATAAGTTGGTTCTGGCTTGACAGCAAACAACCTACTGACATCTTAGAGTGTGTGTGCATTGATTTTCCTGCTAGCATTGATAAAAATATCTCACCTTGAAAGCTGTACTAGGGTTTCTATAAGTTGGTTCTGGCTTGACAGCAGGTAACAACCTACTGACAGTGTGTGTGCATTGATTTTCCTGCTAGCATTGATAAATGCTTTCTGGATACCTCATAAATTAATACACCTTCTGGCAAGTTTCTACGAGAAGGGTGTCACCATGAGACACATGGATGACCATCTTAGTTTTGCAATGGCCTCTTTTCCCAGAATGCTTTGGAATGATGCATACGAGGCATTCTAGAAAATAGAATAGCAGCTGCTGGCATTAAGGGAGTGAGTGGGCATGACATGTTCTCTCAATTCAGTTTAAAGGCATTGATTTCACAGAACCTAATTTCCAGATAAGGATCAAAGAAGAAATCTCCGCCTTCTTTTATGAGAACAAATTATGCCTCATGCCACGAAACTCAGCATGAGACATGATTAAAACATACAAAGGAACATCATTGGGCCTTTAAAGAGATTAAATAAACCAAAAATATTTTACTGGGCAAAGAAAAAATAAGTGTTTGGAAGAATACTGTGAGACAGGTTCCTCCATTTTTATAGGAAATATTCTACTACATTCAATCCAGGAAATGCATTTGGAGGACCCAAAGACCTCCGTATCTCACGGCATGAGAACCTGTCATAGACAGAGGTAGAAAGGTTTGTCTGTTTGTTTCTGTATGTGTGGATAGATGCCATTTTCAAGTTTTCAAACATCCCAGTTTATCCCCATGAACCTCAAAAGCTGTAATTCTGAATCTGCCTCACTGCAAGAGAAGAGCTCAATTCAGGGAGTTTGCAACTGGAAAAATAGCTGAAAACGATGGCACTGTAAATACCCTAGATGAAGACAAGAAGACTGTTTTCCTCTGTTCTTTTCTCTTTAGAAAGTCTTTGGGTTTCTCTTTTCCTACTCCTTAATTTCAATAGTCTTTTGATATGACAGCAGTCAATTCCTATCCTAGGAATTGACTGGATTGTATTTGTCCAGCTATGTGTGTTGTGATCCTCAGCGTCCCTTTCAATATTTATTCCATTGATCATTCAGTGTTAGCTTTTGACATCTATTCTTTTGGCATGAGTATAGAGCATGTTTTGTTCAGTCGGCAAAGCTTGGGTGTGGATTGGAATGGTGGGTGGATTATGAGTGTTTGGTAGCATTTCCAGTAGCGTTTTATAAACTTGCTTCTGGCTTGTGTGATTGCCTGTATCAGTCTCCTGCATCCCTTCTCGGCATGTCCAGATGATGTAAATACGTAGAATGATGAGCTGGGTGTGATGTGAACTCTAGTCCTCTCACCTGCCTTTTGCTCGTCCTGGTAAGGACTCAAACTGCAATGTGCTTTGTAAAATGGCTTTTTAAAATTATGTTTTCTCCTATAACTGCACACTGATATAACACTAAATTACAGCGATAAAGCACTAAAATGTTTACCATATCTTGCTAGTTCGGCCTTTGGACTTGCTAAACATAAAAAAGAAGAAGAAGGGATTTGGAGCTGGTAGAAAGGATGGGTAAGGGGAGTGGCGAGTATGGCAGAGAAGGCTGAAGCAGAAAGGGAACTGTGTAATATGTGGACATTTGAAATGCGCCTTCCCAGCATAATGGAACATATATGTGAGATTATTATCTTAAATCCTTGACAACCGGGATCAAAAGCAAGTCCTGTTCAGGTACAGTTTTATTTCTCCTAATTGGCACAGAGTATTATACATCTTATAGAACCACTAAATTTGTTTAAAGAGCCATGGACAGACAGAACTCATTGCCTACTTCACAATGTCTACAAGTTAATCTTATAACTTCACATTAGTTGAGAATGCTTATTATATTATATTATTATATGCTTTTCTGGTTGTTTATATGTATTTGCTGTATGTTAGACGTCAGCTATCATCTTTTAAGAGTGGTTTAATTTCTGTCCTGCTTTCTGGATAGCTCTGTGGCTTAAGTCTCCGGCTGCGGAGCCAGAGGTTGAGAGTTTGATTCCCCACTGGGCTTCCTGCAAGTAGAGCCAGCCTGTGTGGCCTTGGGCAAGCTGCACAGTTCCACAGTGCCCCCAGAAAAAAGGCATGGTAAACCACTTCCTGGTTCAAAATTGGGAAAGGAGTATGTCAACCCCTGGAAAGGGTCATCATAGGTCAGAATTGATGTCACATAATAATCATCATAATTTATTATTAATTGATATTTATGTGTACAGTCTGTCTGGCTATAAAGCAATAAAGCAAAGAAAATAATGGGAACAACCGTTTAAATGGAATGCCAGGCTATGGTATAGAGAAAGTCTATGTTATTACACTTATATTCTCTCTTCTACAAAGACTAGTTTCAATGTCCACTAGTTCTCCATTCGGGAACTTAGTCAATGTGACAAGGGGGAGAAGTTCGAGCAAGCTACCTAGGTAAGCTGGCAAATCCCACCCAAACAAGAATTAAGGATGAGGACAGAATAACCAGAATTTGGGGCATCACTCTGTTGTTCCTCACTGTAGGGTGAACATCCTTCCATTATAAGGTAGACTGGTGGATGCTGATATAGAAGGGGTTAATAATAGGGGGTTAATAAGCTAATGAGGGTTAATAATTGTGTTTTAAGTGTTGAAAATCTGTGCATTACAAAATAAACTCTTTGATGACCAACAGCAATCCCACACATCCCAACCTATGGCAAGAGACACCAGCCTTAGGTGTCAATTGTTCATTGTATTGGCTGCTCTTGCATTAATGTCCAGGAGTAATACCTCAGCCACAAAATCAGAATGAAATTGAATTCTGATATCCCAGACAACACTACAGTGGGGTCTTGACTTACAAACGGTTTGATCACATGATCATCATCATTTATTATTAATTTCTGTTATATGTACAGTCTGTCTGGCTATCAAGCAATAAGTAAATAATGGGAACAACCGTGTAAATGGAATGCCAAGCTATGGTATAGAGAAAGCCCGTGTGGTTACACTTATATTCTCACTTCTACAAAGACTAGTTTCAATGTCCACTAGTTCTCCATTAGGGAACTTAGTCAGTGTGCCAAGGGGGAGAAGACTTATATTCTCTACAAAGACTAGTTTCAATGTCCACTAGTTCTCCATTAGGGAACTTAGTCAGTGTGCCAAGGGGGAGAAGTTCTAGCAAGCTAATTTAGGTAAGTTGGCTAACCCCACCCAAACAAAAATTAAGGATGAGGACAGAAACTTCAGAATTTGGGGCATCACTCTGTTGTTCCTCACTGTAGGATGAACATCCTTCCATTGAAAGGTAGACTGGTGGTTGCTGACATAGAAGGGGTTAATAATAGGGGGTTAATAAGCTAATGAGGTTACTCTAGTGTAGAAGGTGGAATAGCAGCTTCCCATTAGTTTCCCATTAGTTTCTATGGACAGAAAAGAGCAGATACGGATTAAATGGTTTTCAGTGCATTCATATGGGAAATGCAGATTTGACCTACAAACTTTTCGACTTACAAACTGGCTTCCAATACGGATTAAGTTTTTAAGTCGACTGAATTCTGATATTGCAGACAACACTATGTTCCATTCGCAGCTCTCCCTCTCTGCTCCTGCCATCACTTACCACCCCCCTTTTTCCCTTTCCAGAAAGAAACTGCAGGGAAAGAGAGGCAGCATTTGTACAATGTCTTTACAAATAGCCTTCTGTTTAGAAGAACCCTTACTGATAGCCTCTTCCTACTGTAAATAGAAAACCTATGAGTGATTCATGATGATAATGCAAGATAAATTTGCTCTGAGAACCAGGTAGCCCCTGTCTAAAGTCCTAGACTATTATGAAAAGAAACCTGGGATGCAGGCTGGAAAGAGGTATTCAAGATACCCCGTTACTAGAAAAGGGAGAACCTTAATGTGAATGTCTCAAGCAGGAGCATCTCCCACTTCCAGAATTATACAGATTAGCTTGCTTTGTTTGGTCTTCAATTCTAAAACACAGGATTCCTTTGAAGTCTGGGTTCAAATACAGGAACCAAACGCCTCCATTACCTCTCTGCAACATTAATGGGCTTGCAGCTCTAACTAGAACTGATCTCTAACATCTGGTTTTGGCTTTTCCAGATACATCTGGCCATGAAGGCTCTGGTCGTTGTCTTCTTCTACTTTCTCATGGAGGCAGATGAGACACGGAAGTATTCAAAATGTGAACTATATGAGGAACTGACAAAACATGGACTGGATGGTTACACAGGGATTGGCGTAGGACACTGTGAGTTCTTCCTGTTAGACAGTCACATCTTTCTGTCTGTTTTTAGGATTTTTTTAGATCTCGTTTCTTCAGCTTTTTTCCCCCTGGGATGAATTTAGTAGTATTCCTAAACATTTTCATATGTTCCACATTTTGGAAATCAGCCCTGGGAAGCTTAAAATGGACATTGAGAGAAGTGACATGGTTTAGAAATCACTGATTTTTAAAATATTTTTATGAATGTTTATAGGCTATAATTTCCTTTTCTGCAGATGTGGAAAATGTTACTTTTAAAAAACAGATATGGAAAATATTACTTTAAAAAAAAGAACCTCAAACTCTCAGAATGCTCTGCCCAGCAAGGCAAAAAAAAGTAACTTTTTCTATTTTTAGTTGAAACTAGATCTGGCCTCTTTGTTTCATTTCATTATCAGCAGATCATTGATATTTGGAGCAATATTTCAGGTAAATCTCATCTCAAAATAGAGTAAGAAGGATGGCATATGGAAGTTGGAGAAGAGATTTAGGTTAATATTTCAGGTAAATCCCGACTCAAAATAGAGTAAGAAGGATGGCATGATATGGAAGTTGGAGAAGAGATTTAGGTTAAAAGTTGTGTGGCCAGAAAACACTTCGGTCAACCCAGTGCTCAGAATGGCTCTCAATAAACACATGTGTCACTGCAAACTGTTGGCCGCCATTTTACTCATTGTCGCTGGATCACCTGACCATGACCTCAGCTCCAGGTCAAGGGGTTTGGAATATCATAGGAATTACAGTATCTGGGGCACCCTCTGGTCACTTGGCTGCTTGGTGGGGGCCCATCATTTGGGCCCAGCACCGGCCTAGCAAGCCCCCAAGTCAGGCAGGCAGTGACTGGCCCTGCACCAAGGTCCCTTAACGGGCTCTCATTGTTCCAGGTTATGGGCCTGCAAATCGACTTCCCTCAATCGGATCTGGTCTGATGCTGGAAACCACAATCCCCAAGTTATGACAAAAATCAACTACCAAAAAACCCTCCCCCTCCCTTTTCTTTCTCTTCCCCAACCCCTGCCCTTCTCTCCCAACTTCTGCCTCCATCTCCAAAGGGGAAGGTGAGAAGCTCCACAACAGATTGGACCTGAGCCTGCAGAAAGCAATGATTTTATTTGACAAGGACAGACAGGAGCGAAAATTCTCCCATTCCAGTCCACAACAGGAAGTCCTGCCTCCAGACTAGCCACCTCTCGCCCGATTAGCTGGCCAGCCCTTCACCAGACAGAGGCTTCGGCCACCAGCGCTGCAGCTCCCTTCATCTCTTCTTCTTCCTGCTTGCCATGCTCTGAATGGTGGAGAGGGGCAGATGGGCTGGAAGACCTGTGCTTGCAGCAAAGGAGAAGAGCCATTCTTACTTCCTTTTCTCCATCTTTCTTTTTATTTCCTTCACATCTCCATTCTCACTTCCTCTTTTTCTAACACCACTGGCATGGTTGGCACCTTTAGCAATATGGTAGTAGAAGTGGTGTCCTCCCTCCCTTCCCAGAAATGTATGAAAGTAAAATGGCAGTAGTGGAAGACATTTTTCACTGAAAACTAGAGAAGATACCAGGCTCATGTGCACTCAAGCTTACAGGGAGGAGTTAACTACCATAAAGATTAGTACACTAACATAAATTGCTGGATAGCTCAGTAGTTTATCTAGCTGTGGAGCCATAGGCTGGAAATAGAGATGGGCACAAATCGCTTTGTGGCAGGTCATCATGGTTTATCAATGTGGTATCATAGGTGCCACACATTCCTTTCTCCCACCTACCTCCAGCCGGCTTTCTCACCCACCAGCCAGTGCATGCTGCTTTTCTCCTGCTCTTTGCGTGGCCATCCAGTCGCAGCAGGAGGTCATGCTTCTCCACCTCCTCTGGCAGCTGCCCACTCAAAGGCAACACTGCAGGAACCTGTGCCCCGCTTCCTCATCTCAGTGGGTGGCTGCCAGAGGAGGTAGAGAAGGGAAGGATAAGCACCCACTGTGACTGTACAATTGGATATTCACCCATTTTGAAATGAGGCCATGAATTGGTTACACTCTATTTCAGCCCACATTTAATTACAGTGCAAAAGGCTGAATATCAACATAATGAATATCAGCTGTGGGAAGAATTTGTGTCAACATTTTACAAACATGGGATTGTTGTAAGCCGCCCAGAGACCTTTGGGTAAAGTGGGTGGCATATATATATATTAGACAGGCTCCTAATTTATTTATTTATTTACAAGAATTTTTTTTAGCCACGCCATTACCAATGGTCTCTGAGCAGGTCTTTGCCTGGCACCGAAAGCCAAAAGTGTCGGAGCCAAGCAGATCTCTATAGGGAGGGTGTTTCAAAGTTGGGGGGCAACAGCCGAGAAGGCCCTATTTCGACATGCCATCCCCCTCACCTCTTTCAGGGATTGCACCTTCAGAAGGGCCTCCTGGCCTGATTTTAGTGGATGGGTAGGCTCGTATGGAAGAAGGCGATCCTTTAAATTACCAGGTCCTAAGCCGAGTCGTTCAACTGAGCTGCAGGAAACATAACATATTGTATGCTCTAACCATCAACTGTCCTTTCCCAACAGGGATATGTTTGATCCTGTTTGGTTCTGGCTATGACACAGAGTACTACAAGTTTTCAGATGGCCATCCATACTATGGATTATTCCACTTCAGTGGTCTTAAGTGGTGCTCTAATGGGAGGCATCCCTCAGAGAACTTATGTAAAATTGACTGTGACAGTGAGTAATGTCTTTATACTTCTGACGTATCAGACTGAAAAAAAAAGAAAGAAAAGAGGTTTGCATTGCAAACAACATACAGTAGTAGAGCTTAAGGCAACCTTAAAGACAAGTCATTTGTCCTGCAGTCCTGATGTAACATAGGGTTGTCTACACTGGTTATTTTGGAGCAAGCTGGTGGGGCCTAAATAGAGTTTCCTGGGGTTAGTTAGAGGTGTGGTGTGCCATTTGGTGTCGTCTTCAAATCCAAATGGCCTATCGGAGCCCAAGCACCCTATTTGGTCTGGCTCCTTCTCAGGAGAAGGGGAGAGGAAGCGATTTATTTTTATTTTTGGACGATCACTGATGTGCTGCACCACCAACATTGTGGAGGGGTTTTGCAATCGAGCCATGATAGGAGATACCACTTCCTCTGCTTCTCAGGAAAAGGGGAGGGGAAGCTATTTATTTTATTATTAATTTTGGACGATCACTGATGTGCTGCACCACTTGCAAAAAATTAATAAAACACTTATGTGCCTTGTCTTTAAGGGACAGCTCAGTCAGTCTTTCAGAAAAGAACAAGAATCTTTTTTTAAAAAAATTTATTTGCAGTGATTTTCTAGCACAGTCTGGAGGGGGGAATGCACTTCACCTGCCCTTCCCCTGAGAGATAATGTTCAATGTACTGATATCGTGTAGTGGTTGGCATATTAGGCCTGTGCCCCATATGGAAATTACAACCAGAAGGTGCCTTGGCATCCAGAAAGTTCAGTTTTGGTCCACTTCCAGTGATCACACACAGACTGGAAACAGAGCAATCCAACCGACAGCAAAAATTAGAAGCCTCTGACAGAGGTTTATAAAGGTGCAAGCAGGAATACTGTGGGGATGAATTAGTTCACTCCAGTGATAAAATTGTGTGAGTGCTGGGGAAAGAAGCAAACTGCCCTGTTCCTACAGTGGACCCAATCCCTGTCTGATTGCACCCTCAGCCTGGTTGTCTTTTTTTTTTTTTACAATGCGTCTCTACACTATTTACAGGCAAGATGATTATATATTTATTGGCCTATATCCGACATGACGTTTGCAATAGTGGCAACGTTTTCATGATAGGGTTTTTCAGGTGTTCGGGGAAGCTTAGTAGCAAATGACATGCAGAAGTACTTCTATTTTATTATTTATTTAAAATATTTTTTACCGCACCTTTCTCCTTAAAAAGGACTCGAGGCGGCTTATCTCATTAAAAGACAATATTTAAAGCTAAAAAACAGTGACGTCTACAAATACTAAAGAGGATGAAACAAATACCACCCTAAAAGATGTGAACAAAAGTACAGTAACACCCCAAACACGTTCAGAGCAGTAAGGCACAACCATCCATTAAAAAACCCACTCAGACAGCCAGTCACCCGGGGAAATTAATTCCTTATAAACTGGCATGACATGGGCGCAACTAGATAGATCCATCGGAATTCCGGCGGCTTAATTTTGTGCAAGTGAAAGCTTTTGGAATCTTTTCAGCAGCAGCCCCTTGCAGGGCTGCCCCAGCTATTATTCCCTGCAGCCGGGTGGTCCCGTCTGGCAGTAGCACATCTGGAGCGGTGGCAGAATCACTGTCACCCACTCACCTGCCCATGCCCTTGTTATCCTGTGGAGGAACCTTTCAGTGGAGGGAAGGGCAAAGAGGACAATGATGGCAAGAGCTACAGCAGCAATGCCAGACAGGTTTGAATGGGCCCTGGCTGCCCAGGCCACTCCCACAATGCTTTGCTCCTGAAGATCCAGGCATTAGGCAAACAACTCCAAAGGCAACCAGGCAGGACATTTAGACAATTGGATAGGAGAGGATTAGCATTGTGAAGGCAGGAGACGGGGTTTAAGATGTATTAGGACTGTAAACTGTAGACAGACAAGGTTTAAGAGTAGGAAGAAATATGAGATGAAGAAGATATAAAGTGTAAAAAGATAAGGATTCACTTAGATATACAGTATGGGAAGACTGTGCGATATACCTGTGATCTCTAGCTCTTATTCTGGTAAAAAAAATTAAATAAAATAAAAACATTTTCTTTTGTACCTCCGTCCACTCGCCAGCATGTGCCCCATGCTCTCCCCCTCCTCACCAGTGATGGCTGGCAATTCCAATGCTGCAGGGCAGTGACGCTGCTCCAGATTTTACTCTGAACTTTATAGGAGCTATCCCATCTCTTTAGCCCAAAACATTCTGCTTTGTTTCACTGGTATTAACCCAGTGGAAGCCAACTGCCTCAAGTTAAGGAATCTCCATAGATGTAATTTGTTGCATGCTGAGGTATGCAGCTCAGCATGCGACAGACCATGGCTATGGTGATTTCTTAACTTGAGGGAATTTGCCTCCAAACGTTACACCTTTCACATAGCTATGCAACAGGATTCAGGCCTTTATTTCCTTGTGGCTGTGATGACGTAACAAACACCCATGCTGGCTGCTTCTGATGTATTTCATGTGTTTAATGAAGAATCCAGGATCAACCATTCTAAACATCTGTTTCCCTCACAGATTTCCTAGACAACAATATCTCAGATGATGTTGAATGTGCTAAGAAAGTTGCTGCTAGCAAAGGAGGAATGATGTCTTGGTGAGTAGTATCTGATATTCTATCTCTAAAAATGAAAAGGACAACAGGTATAATTAAAAATGCTTAGTGACAACTTTATTGGTGGAAAAATTGACATGGATCAACCAACCTCTGAGAATTGCCCATTCATCTGGACACTCATTATAAGCTGTTGATTATCTCCTGCCTTTCATTCAGTGAGCGTAAGATGGCACATATGACTCTCCCCCTCCTCACTACTGAAGGCTCACAACTCCGAGGTTTCAGGGGTAGTGAAGTTGCTCTGGATTTTACCCTTTACTTTATAGGAGTCATCCAAGATGCTGAATCCTCTCCCTCAAATAGGTTTGGTAACATGGGCAGCTCTTCCAAAGTTTAAACTAAAACCCAAAAGTGCAGAGACTCACAGAACAGAATTAGCTCCAAGTTCTCCAGATTAGTCCACCTCTTTTTCTCATTCATTGGTACTTCGTCTCAACAGTTCATAACAAGACATTAGTAGGAGAAAGAATAAAAAGGCTCCATAACTTGCAGTGAACAGATAACAGCAAAGAGAGAACAAATATGACCGCTTGCAGCAACAGGCCTCAACAGATTCTCTGCTTTCAACAGACCAAAGAGAAAGTTCAAAACAGAGAGGTGGGGCTCTCTTCAAACTTAGAGGCAGGAAAGGAAAAAATGGCTACTGTTGGAAAGATTGACAGTCACTCCAAGATCTTTCCCAGCCAGACCTACTAGAAGCAGCATGTGAGGTTGCAATAACTCCAATAAAAAGTGTCCCTGGAAGGAAAAGCTGAAGTACCTGGGAATTTTGGTTTACAAAGGAATTACTAAAGGGCAAGCATGGGGACCGTTAGTAAAACTCCAAAATAGCATAGAGAGAGAAGAGACTCACGCTTCCTCTTGTCACATAGCATAAATAAATCTCATGATCCCTCAATGAAGCTGACAGGCAGTACATAGATTCAAGACAGATGCTACCGCTGGGTATGATTCCTTTTTTGCATGCCGGCTAAAGAAAACAGGCTGATCTCTATGCAAATCAACAAACAATGAGAAATCTAATATCTTAAATGACAGAATTAAAAAATGATGGGAAAAACACTGCAGCCTCCCAGGACACTGTGGGAATAACTACAGTGTTACAGCAGTTTGATTCCACTTTGAAAGACTCAGCCTAGGGAATGCTGGGGTTTGTAGTTTGGGGAAAGACTTAAGACAGGTTTGCCAGAGAGCTCTTGTGCATTCCCCTGATCTATGTCTCTTGCCTGACTACAGACCCCAGCATTCCTTAGAATGGAGCCATGACCATGCTTTTGATGGTACACTACAGGTTCCCTTTCTGACATTAAAGCAAGGGCAGGGGGAGGGGACTGTGACTCCTGTAGGACGGGAGAGAAAGTGTGAGAGAAATTAAGAGAGAATGAGAGCAGGAGAGACCTGCTGGTCTACTCCTGGGGGCCTCCATCAGGAACAGTCTTCACATGAAACCTCCAAAAATCTCGAAAGCGAAACCAGAAGTAGACACCCATGCAGTTCCACTTTTGATCTTTTCATTTCTTTTCATCTTTCTTTTAACGCTCTGGTGCCTGGTGTGGCCCCCAAGGATTGCCAAAGATGCCTACCCCTCTGCCCCACAACAGGTTGTTTGTTTGTTTTGAAGATATTTGCCTGGAAGAT